ACACCTACACAACTGTTATACAGTTTAATGCGGAAAACCATTGAAATAGTCTATTTAGTTTTCTTTTTAACATTAAAATGAATTGATCATTTCATAAGTGGAAGTTTAATGAAATGTTAACTGAGCTAGTGCAACATTCAAAATGATATTTGCAGGCTAACAGACAGTTTGGTGAAGGCTCCCTTATACACTGCATGTATGTGATGGTTATTCTTAGCACAGGGCTTTAAAGGCCCCTTTGGTTTCTTGCTTGGGATCTCTTTGTATTATTATTTACTCATAATAAATGCTCCAATGGGTTCTAACACCTGGAGTGAAGCGGTGTCCTCCTCTTCCTGATTCCAGTGAGACAACATTAATGATTTCCATTTCTCAAAGACTAGTTTTCAACAGGTAAGAGTTAAAAATTGGGGGAGCCACTGAATAAAGTCACACAATACCTCATACTACCTACTCTAGGTACTCCTCTGTGCAAACCCCTATCCAATTTTCTCAGATTGTGTGTGGGTGTGTGTGTGTGTGTGTTGCTGTGTTTGTGGCAAAGAAGTCTGCGGTTAGAGATGGGATTTTGATCACGTCGCTCTCCATTGCCCCCTGAATCAAAGATGCCTTGCTCTCTCCTTTTAGTGCAGATCGTGTGTGTATTTGTGAACATGTGTATTTGTGTGTGTTCATCAGGTTGCTTGTGGCAGCTAGAGGATAAAATGGCCATTATAGTCGCACAGTAAAACCCCCTCTGCTTGTGTTTTATTTGATTGAATACATTTTATTGCAGCTTTATGGAAATGGCCGGACATGTGCCATTTCTGTGCTTCCTCAGATGAGGTCTTTTGTTCGTCACAGTACACGGCACAGCACAGAAAGCTATCTAAATTCCGAACCATGGCCAGTAATAGGAATGCAAACGGAAAACTGCGTTACGCGTTCATCCCAGATTGCAGAAAGCAAAGGCAGGATAAATGAGGCTGTGATTAGAGAGAAGAGCTCTTCCAGGGGCAGCTTTCCTCTCCCTTTATACCACAAGAACACTCAGTAATAGGTCTGCACTGACAACAAACCACAGGTCTGTCATTAGTGGGGTGTCTTCAGCCCTCTTCACTGAGGTAAGAGAGCACAAATCTGATGCATCCAGCACCCATTCATAACCTAATTTGCCTCCTTGGTATGCGTTTAAGTAAAGATTCTCTATTTATCACTTTTATGAGCCTTGCCGATTCCTGATGAATTTTGAAGATAATGACTGGCTACTCAGACTTTATCCAGGAGCCTTTAACTGTTTTTCTGGCTCCATCATCTACTACTCCTCCTCCTCTCTCTTCTTCTCTCTCTCTTTTCTTCTCTCTCTCTCCATCTGTATGCATTCATGTCCCATTATTGCATGCTACTCACTTTATACCTTCCTGGGAGTTTTAGTGCTGAAGTCTCCCAGGTTCCTGTTGATCCTTGTTGCAGACTGCCTACTGCCAGGAACCTCCAACTGCTACTAATATTATAATTAGTAATACTTACTGTTTCATTAGTCATGGTTAACTACTATTATATTTGCATTGCTACTATTGTCTGAAGTAATTTTTGTTGCTGGGTGTACATCTCTGTCCGCCTATCTGTCTGTCTGTCTGCCTGTATTTGTGTCCCTCTGTCAGTCAGATTGGTTGCCTGGATGTTTATCTGTCTGCAGTTTTGTCTGAACGTTTGTCCATCTATTTTTCTCCCTTTGTGTGCCTGTCTCTGTCTGCCTTAAAGTCCGACTGTCTGTGACTGTCTGTCTGTCTGTCTCCATGCACCTCTATCCCCCTTTTTGTCTTTTTGATTATGTCTTTATCCGTCTCTCTCTCTCTTTCTTTCTCTCCTTCGATCCCACCTCCCTCGTTGCAACAGCTAGTTGTTCACTCAGGTTCTGCTCAAGGTTTCTGCCTGTTTTTTCTCTTGCCAAATGTTTGCTAATTTCTGAATACATTTTTTGGTCTCTCTTAATAACATAACAAATACGGTCTAGAACAATGCTTGTGAAGAATGATTTATACTTCAAAGAGAATCTTTGTTGAAGTCATAATGATCACAGATTTGGCTGAGCCTTTGATAGAGTTGCTTTCCATGAAGAGATCTCTTTTTAGCCAGAGGTAATTCTTCTTTATTCAGTGATCACAATGCAAGCTGAAAGGGTATTAACTGCCCCTGGGAATCATTCAAAAGTGCAGTTGCAGGTAAGACATGAGTGACAAAGTAAGGCTAGCCTGTCATCCTTTGACAAGCAGGGCTTGAGGGTGGGATCACTTACACCTGAGAGATATCTTACCCTGTCGTACTCCTTCTCACACCTCCACTCTCTCACTTCCTCGTCCTCTCAGCCCCTGTGCGTGCTCTCAAATATTCATGACCAAGCAGCCAGTGTCATCTTGGAATATCTAAATGGGATGCCCAAGGCGGAGGGAAATCATCCGCCTATGAAATTCTCCACGAATGTTAAAGCAGTCATCTATAAACCTCGCTCCATCAGTTCCCTCCCCCTCATGTTAAAATTTCCTCCCATCTTATTTCCACTCCAGAACTCTTATGCTAAATTGTCACTGTGGTATATCAGACAAAACGGCCAATTTGTAAAAACATTTTAATACATATTCAGTGGTTACCATGTGTGCTGTCTGCTTTCCATTGCAGCGAATCAGCTCGTGGCACAACATCTGCTGCTGGAGCCAAGAGTGATATGTAAAAGTTTTGACAGCTCACACACGCAAACAAAGTAAATTTGCCTCAATGCAGCCTCTCTCTCTCTCTCTCAAATAAAAGGCAATATTAAATGACTGAGGCCTGGTTGAGTGATTCCCGATCTGACTCTTTTAAACAGATTGGGGCTGACGCATTGTGCCAGCTCATGTTCTGGGTCATGCATGTGTCACTTGAGGAGTCTCTAATGAGAGCCAGACAAGAGCACTGTGCCTGGCCGAGCAGAGACGGCAATCTAATAGCCAACCACAGCGTGTTAGAACTGGTGCCTGAGAAAATAACAAAAGAAAATATGATTCTCAAGAATTGAACAGCCACTGCATGATGTCTACCTGGAGAAACAGAGAGGGAATTATGTGCAGTGTTTTAAAACGGTCACAGAAAGTTGTGATGCAGCTCGTTTGAAAACTTCTTCTTTGACAGCTATGGGTGGCAATGAGTGAAGAAGGCTCGACAGCACCTGTCCTGGTTGGCTGTTGGTTCAGCCTTAAGCTCTAAAAGCCGGGCTAGAGTGAAATGCTGTGGTTGTCTATCAGTGACGGCCCTGACAGACTGACAGGAGCTACTGAGAAATATCACTCAGAGAGAGCCAGACAGTGAGGGACAGGATGGACGACATTTAAAAAAAATTCTAAATTCTAAAGTAACTTATAAAATAAAATATTACCCAGTGTGCATACAAATGCCACTAGGGAGCAGCTACCTGCAAAAGTTGCCTCTTATAATAAAGTCATCCTCAATAAGTTGAATTTAGTGGTGAATATTTCACCAGTTCTGAGGGAAACATCTTTGTATTTGCTGCTGGGCTTCTTGTTGTGTGTTTAGTGTTCAGTTAAACCTCTAGTGGCATCTCCATACAGAGCACAAGAAATACTCCCAGGATGGGGGCGGGCAATGAACAGAGTTTACACAGCGTTTGGCTCACATGGGTGTTGTTCAACATGAATATTCAAAACACACCTCAGAATAAACCATTGTGTTCCCATTCCAAGCTAATTTCATCTGGGATTATGTTGCAAGGCTATATTCACAGAGGTAAATAACTACAGAGCAGACACACAAGTTTATATCACTATTTAAAAACCAACTAGTGTGCTACATGATGCAACGCACATTTAAGTAAAAACAGACTAATGTAGGGAATTTGTCTTTCGCATTTTTGCCATGTTTTTCTTTACGTTTGAAAAGGAACAGAGGTCAGAGGTCAGTTTTTCCTGCATGCATTGCTCTCACACTGCAAAGATAGGTGGCTTACAAATCATAAGATCACATGAAATTTTACAAATTTCAACCCTTAGTCCTTTAGTTTGTTGATTAAATGCAAATAAGCAGCAAACGCTGGAGAGTGTTTTCAGATCACATTTTTGGCAAACCAGTCTATCCTGGCACAGCGCTGTGTTAGATAAATAAATTACAAGTTGGATGAATGTGTTATCAGCAGGTGGACTTTCTATTAACCTAAAATCTGCTTTTCCTTTTGTCACCAGGGGACACAAGTACAGGCCCACTTCTCTGAGGGGAATATTGTCTGCAGTAGGTGCAGAAACATTTTGTTTTTATCGTTCAGGTTTAACAGTAAAATAAGTCTACATATTGAAGTGATGTTTAACTAAATCATGAAGCCCAGCATTAGACACAGTCTTACTGTAAGTGCATAAAAAAATACTTATGCCAGACAAAATGAAAAAGCAACCATGCTTGTGCTACTGCTGGCTTTGAGCCACTAGATAATCATTTGCACATACTCTCCACTGCTATAATGGAGTCCTCACTCATCGTAAAGCTCATGATTGTTTAATTGCAAGTTATGCCAGATTAAGATTTTGGCAGCATTGGGTGAGTGGGTTTCTTGATTGAGATCATGCTCACACCCTTACTGAGGAGCATGTTATAGAGTCCTGTTTAAGATGTCTGAATCAGAGGGCACGGCCCATTCAGGATTCTGACAAGACTCAAAGCAAAGGTCTTGTTCTGAGAATAACTTAAAATAAGTGACAACAAGGACAGTGCCTTGTTTACTGCCAGCCAAGCATTCAACTCTTTGCACCTCCGAATCTGTAGGATACATTTAAACATAATGAGATGCCGCTGCACATTTCTCTTAGCTTTTCATGTTCTTCCCCTGTAAAGTTTAAAGCTCACTGCTGCAAAGCCAAAACTTCAAAGACAACTGCTTCACAACCGGCTTTGAACACAATCTCATCATTAACTTTCTCGCTCACAAACCTCATGCAGACATACACATAGACAGGGAAACACAACAACTGTTTACTCACAGATTCCTGGCTCTTGTCCTTTGCATCATACACAGTCAGCTTGACTAGTGTCTCCGGGCTGGCAGGATACTCTGAAGGGAAGGTCACCCCCGTCAGAAACAGCGGGTCTTTGTTCGCCTGTCAGACAGAGGGACAGCACAGAAACAGGTTGAAATACTCTGTGTGTGTGGTGTGTGTGTGGTGTGTGTGGTGTGTGTGTGTGTGTACCCTCGTGCATGTTTGTACTGCAACACACGTGTTCCTTAAAAAAAGCATTTAAGCCAAAGGGAGAAAAGGAGGGAGGGGGGGACTTTGGTAAATGAGCCAACAGCTGGGCTCAGCCTGTCCTCCTCCTCCTCTTGGCGTTTTCTTCCTCTTCCTCTCTCCTCCCATGCTGCGTCTCCTGGGCACAGAAAAAAGGAGTAGATAGAGCTCTCCATGGTGGGTCTACCTGCAGCTCTGGCATAACTACAGTCTCCAAGCTTAGACTACAGGCCAGGAGCAACAATTGGTGACAGGTAGGTTGGCACAGCGGCAAAAGTATTAATCCATTGCTCCAAGCAGCCAGTGCTGGGTCTTTAAACAGACCAGAGGGCTGCATGGCGTTTGCTAATATTCACTCACAACTTTCCTGTAATCACAAAGCCCAGTCATCACTTCTGCACCTCCTGAACTGCAGGGCTAGTTTCTGCCATGGCCTGCACAGATTTTGCTTTCATTAGACCAACAATAATGTCCTACCTTGACACATGTGTATCTGGTGTTTTCTGTAGATTTAAAACCCTCTCTAACATCATTTGAGTGAGGACCTGACTGTCAGTTGTTTCACTGTTCAGGAGGAATCCTCTTTCCAACATGCATCAGTGCCTCAAGAAATAAGGCCACCCTTCTCTGCCAGTATCTGAAGTTGTTCTCCAGTTTCAAAAATGCTTTGCAAAAGAGGCTTTTCTTTGATTGTGTTTAATTGCGCTGTGCCTGTACAGATAGGATAGCTGAAAAGAGCCAGGAAATGGGAATGACAGAGATACAGATGACATGCTTGAAAGGCCCGAGGCCAGGAGTCAGACCTGTGGAACAATGTGTCAAGGACTGTAGCCTCTGTATATGGTGCGCCTGCTCTACTGACTGAGGTTACATCATTTGCTCCAATAATCTTAACAAGCGTTAAGAGTTGTTAAAAAATCGTTAAACAATTAAGTAACCTCTGATACTTAATATTTGAAATGATCTGTTAAGAGTGTAAGTAGTAGTAGTAGAGCTTACTCAGATCATCATCCTTTTCATTTAAATAGAACCAATATGGTATGGCCAAAATGCCCATCAAATATACTCTTACAAACTCTGGACGTTCTAATTTACCGTTGTTAAAATGCAATACATTCTCATATGAAAACAAATGTATCGTACAAAGAGCCAAAGGGACTTTTCTGAGAAGGGTCAAGGATTGTTAGGTCAATTGGTTTCGGCTTTTTGAACAATTTCAAAGTATTTTGTGTTTACAGTGGGGACTTCCTCTTCCTCTGCACGCCTCTGATGGGCGTCTTTAAAATGCAGCCCCCTGAGACGCTGTGAGGAGAGGCTGGGGAGCTGTAATGAGACTGGCACAGACAGACTGGCAGACATGTAGAAATGTATGGTCACATACTTAAGCTAAAAAAAAGTTATGACACTGAGGCTGGTAAGTATGAATGATATCCACAATAAAAACAGTGGTAACATTTCATTTAAAATCTATAAATATGGCTGACCCTGCACATAATCACAAGGGAAATAATCACGCTGGTGTTAAAAAACTGTGGCTGTGTTTTTATGGCATTTGTTTTTTTTCCTTTTTTGGAGGGGGACAACTTAAAACCAAATAAATATGTATGAATACTTATTAACTTAAACTCTGGTGAACTTGTGTTACATCAGCATCATTTGGTTTCTTTCGAAGTGTTTTAGTCAAATATAAATTAATCGGATGAAGGGATAAGTACTAAAAATGGACACTGATGGAAATATTGTCTGAACATCTTAATGTCACAAATTACTTTAAAGTAACATAGTTTAAATCTCATATTAACGTTAGATCAAAACATATACATGGATACCACAGCCTCTATTACTCTACTTATATCGGTCTGATTTAGAGAAAGTGTGCAGTCATTTCATTAACACGACAGTAGAAACGCAGATTTTTGCTTTAAAAAGGCCTAAAGATTCCTTTAGTTTGTGATTCATGGAAAACACAAATGGTAAATTACGCAGCTCAGGTGTTTTAATACACCAACAAGAGAGGGTCCAAACAGAGAGATGTCAGAGGATTTGGAGGCAAAGCGTGAAGTACCCAAATAACGTAGTGTACTAAACACACACGATGACAGAATTGTGTGTTCAGCTGCACACACTTACACACACTGCAGGAACACATAGAACTATCTCCTCTCCGGACCACTAACCCCACTGATCCAGCAGAAATCTTCCACTGGCTGACAGAGGGGAAACTAAACAAGTCTGCAGCTTCTTGTTTCAGCCTCTGCAGACAGGGTAATACCAGTCCTGATGCCTGGTGCCGTTTTGCCGCCCAGCCATGCAGCTTTGTGGTTTGTCTGCACAAACACAGCCCAAACACAGCACAGTGGGTACACACACACAGAGTTACCAATGCTGTGCTTTGAGCTTAGTGCTAATCTGGATGTATATCACTACTGTAGCTGACAAAATACACAGAGCCATGAATGTTCAGGTACACACACACACACATATATAACCCCTCATACCTCCCTCACTGGAACACTGAATAGGCCTCATTCAGACTTACCATCATGCTTGGCAGCCTCAGCAGCAGCTCAATCTTCTTACTGATGGGCTGAAATGGGCTGAAGTGCTAAGCCTGTCTCCATTTACACAAAACATAAGCCACTCTGTCATACAAGTGGTCAACATACGCTGTGGAAGGCAGTTGTAGCGTTCTTGTCTTTTTGTCCATTTGGGTTGCAGACATCAGTGAAACGGCTCATTTAGCACATTAGAGGGTGTGTGCCATGATTGGGTTAGGGGGAAGTACGAGATTTCCAGTGAGTCTCTCTCTAACTCTCCCTCCCTTGTCTACTTATAATAACACTCACACACACACACACACTCACACACACACAATCTTTTTGGACTGGTTCCAGACAGAGGGGTCTTCGCTTCACTAGCATGACATCAAAGGCTGTTTTATATCCCTTTGGCTTTGCATGACGTCAAATCCCCCTCCAGTACCACCACTCCAGGACCCATCGCTCCTGTTTGAGGAAAGGGATTTTCCTACAAGATAGCAATTTTTTTGTCTCGCCTCCCTCAAATGCAATTTGTCTAAAATGTTTCCTATAGCACTTGAAAGAGATTTACAGGGCTTTAGGTTTGTTTCTACTCAAGTTGTCACTGGTCCTTTCTGTTTTACCAGCACTAGATTTAAGAAACAGAGCCCACAACTTTGTACCACTTTTATTGCATTCACTGAATTAGTTCTACTTAGTATGAACTGGGGCCGGACCAATATGGTATTGTTTTGGTCGATACCAATATCAATACTGGGGAGAAATAAATCTGATACCAATAAATCAGCGATATCTTTCTAAGATCTATCTTCCATCGGTAGAGATAGATATAGATATACACATTTATTGTGTTTGTCACTCATATGCAGTTGTTAAACATTTAAGGAAAATATCTCCAGTATAAGAAAAACAAGATGGTCAACTGGAAAATTAACTGTGCATGTATGTGCATCACCGCTCGACACTCTGGAGAGTGATAATGCTTTTTGTAATCTATATGGCACACTGCTGGTGACAGAGAACTGCTAGTGTAATACAAAGAAACCCAAATGAAATGCTTTTTGACGGGTGACTATATCTAGTCATATCAGAGAAAAAAATTAGCCAATACCGTATACTTGATATACTAATATCGGCCGCTATGATCAGCTGGCCTGATCAATAGATCGGACTCTAGTATAAACTGGCTGTTAATGTTTACTGTGACATTTTTGGGTGAGAAATGTATGTGCTTTATTGATCAGTGCTGACAGGCATAAACACGAGGCTTGCACCAAAATGTGTTACCAGATTTGTCAAATGCCAAACATCCAAATGAGACCCTTAAATCATCCCAGGAATTAAAACAGCAGCTCGATCCTTCATTTCAATATGCTGACAACTGGGTAAAACTCAGAAGCATCTACAAGACCTTTTTGATAGAGCTGAGCTTATATCAATTTGATTTCAAAAAGAGGAAATTCTTAAGAAGAAATCGCCATTAAGTTGTTTTTTGTCAATCAGTGATCAGTGGTTGTAAGTAAACTTTCTGAACCTTATGTACCCACCCCATCCTCTTAGAAAACATTTCTTCAGGAGAAACTACACATATGGTGCAAAACAAAGCTGAAAATAAAACCAAGCTGCTAAAAAAAAGAAGCAATAATTAACCAGCTACTCCCACAACACAATTGGATCACAGGATAACATTATGTGTTTCTAATTCAAGAAGTATTCAGGGACAGACAGAACTTGAAAAAAGAGTAGCATTAAAATACTTTTATTATCTTTTTTTCATTTTCTTTTAAACCTAATCACTGTCTGATGCGTTATGGGAAATGGTATAGGTAGCAGATGGCATGCTTCATTATTACGAAATGAAACCCTAATATCATATACCATGATCCCCTCATAATAAACCTATCACATGAGTAGAGGGACTAATGCTGGAGCTTTAATACAACAAAGACCGTAGTCAGTGTCCGGCAAAGTCGGCAGCAGCTGCTGAGAGCTGGCATCCTGGGAATGTGACAAACAGGAGAAACACAAGGGGCAGCCCAACTGTCTTCAGGTTCATACTACACACACTAACCCCCAGTACACACATACAGATAAATACTCACACGCTCTGGTCTTTCTTTGGTCACAAAGGTTAATGACCATCTGCTGCTGTGCATGTTGGACAAAAATGTATGAGTGGGAAATCCTATTCCTAACCATGACAAGACATGACAAGACACCTCTGTTCCTCTACGAAACACTAACAATCTATTCAAAAGAGTGCCAGTCAGAGTGCCACTGATTTTTTTTTCAACCCTTTGATTTTTCTAAGCCTGAAAAACACTGAAATATTGTATCTGATTTCTGCCTGAAGTTTTAAATATTCTTGGAAATGCAAAAGTAAGGATCCCTTTTATGTCACTCTTCAGACTAATAAAATAAAAATAAAACAGGGAAAAATCCTCAGACTATGTTAGCTAACACCACTTATACTGCTGCAAACCTCCTTATTAAAACAGACTCGTATAAATAACAAAAATGTGCACATACCCTGTTTTTGTTGAGCCGAAAGCAGTCCATATCCGCAGCCTCAAATCCTGATCATTACAGCCCTGAAATCAAAACTCCAGTGGCTCTCTGAGTATCTGCACAGCCGGCTGAGCCAGCATACGCTATCCTACCACATCCTGTGTTCCTGCTCACATACTCATACACACAGCGAAAATGCACACACGACTGTTCCCCTGACAGGACTGAGGGGAAAAGCAGATGAAGTGGAGTCTTTGAAAGAGAGTTATGATAATTTAGCTGCACTGGATGAGCAGGAAAATGAGGAGTGTCTGGAAACTTTGAGGGGGAAAAAATAAGTGTGTGTGTGCTTGTACATGTGTGTAAGGGGGTGTTCCACAGTGGGACAGGGGGGCAGCTGTTCCTGCCCAAAAAAACACTTGTGTGGTAGGAAATTGATGTCACACTGGGGGGTTATAAAGAGATCATTTAAAGAAGTCAAAGAGCCCAAAAAAACCACTTGCATTGAATGACATTTCCACACAATTAAACCCACAAAAACCGAATATACATACTCAACTCTTTAAAATGTCTAGACTCAACTGTCATAAGAAAGAGAAGGCAAACTCTCATTGTCTGTTCCAGTTCAATGAATCAGATGTGGAAAGAAGAGGACAGACAGAGATGGAGAGAACACCAACAAGGACTCAGTGACCCGGAGACAAAGCAAAACAACAAACTTAAAAAGGTCACAGAGAAGCCCGGGAGGATGGGTCATGTGTGTGTGTGTGTGTGTGTGTGTGTGTGTGTGTGTGTGTCCTTACCTCCACTATCTCTGTGCAGGTCTGAGTGACAAGGTGCTGCTTGTGGGGATCTACGACAGCCACCTGGACCAAAGCATTGGGCTTTCTGTCTCTGCCTGAGGTCACCAGATCCTTACAGGCTGCAGAGAGGAGGAGAGTAAGAAGAGAGACAGGAAGGGATGGAGAGAGAGAGGAAAATATGCAGAGAACAGGAGAAGAAAGGAGAGAAAGGGATGAGAAGAAGAACAAAAAGCAAGATCAGAAAGGAAGATGATTTGGAGAGACCCTAAAGGTGCACAAATCAAATGCTAACACTTGAAAATGACAATAAATGTGATAGAAACATGGCTCAATAGGCAGAAAGACAAAAAGCTGGCGATCCCAGCTGTCAATGACGAGAGGACGGGTACACCCTGGACTGTTGGCCAGTCAATCAGAGGGCAGATTTAATAAAAACATTATTTTTTTTAAAAGCAGATTGTCAGTCTGGCCTGCTGGCTTTCAATGATAGGAAGACTTTTGATCCCATGATTCCTTTATAGGAAACTGATGCTTCCTGGTTTTGAATAGAAATGGCCCCTAACAAGATAACTCATCAAAGGAAATTGAAGCATCTTTCCTAAACAAACGGTACGAATCAGAGACATCCTAGTTTTCTGACTGCAGTAAAGTCAGAAAGAGCAATGTTGCATTTTAGGAACTCAAATAGCAAAAAAACCACCTCCCCCTGTTCTGAACTTTCAAATTTGTGTTTGTGCATCTTTGTGTGAGGGAAAAACTTTTATTTCTGTGGTTATTTCTTGCTGACCTCTTACCTAGACAATGACACCATATGGAGTTAAATCGTTCTATTAATGAACATTTGTTTACTCTCGAATACAGTAATCTCTTTGGATCCTTTCCAAAAGCTGCTATCTCTCTTCACAGCACGATCCTGGCATGTTTACAGCAATTGATCTGCTTCACAATGCCCGGTCACTTTCACACATTATTTTGCATAACTAAGTCTTGGATAATATCACTATGGGTGAAATTCCATTAAAATAACAGCACGAGCAGAAGATTACTTCTTGGTGTGAATCTCCATCTTCAGTGGCAGGAAGTTTAACAGTTAAGCAACTCAACAGCAACAAGAGATGAAAGAGGTTTTTGTCTGAGGAATTTAAAAAAAGTGAAGTCAGAAAAAAAGTTAGACCAAGAAGTGAAGGGTTCAGAAAAAGGGCATCAATAGCTCTGATGCTTGTATGGAAGAGATCGTTCTTTCCTAAATTTTTAAAATAGTTTGTCTGATTATTAAAAGATAAGGAAACGTGCTGTTTTTCCAGTTTGCAGAAATCAGTCCTCCAAAGTTGTAAATGAACTGCAATTTGTTCAGAGACACCTACAGTACGCATCACAAGGTTAACCTTTGTTCATACAAACCCAGAGTGATCCTCATCCATTGTAAAGCTAAGATTTAAGCAGGGTTAGGTTTGGTTTTATCTTTTTCTTTAAATCTTGCTGAAGAGATGTTAAACGCTTTATATGCGATTTTTTGATCCAGCAGATGTCGACCTTGAGCATGAAACCAAAACATCTCGCGCTGCATTGTTGTGTTAGCATGCTAATGCTAGCGATCTTTATTATATTCGTATCTTCACACTGCATGTAAATTTACCCGCAATGACCGTGATCTAGAAACGCTTACGTGACATTCAGTTAAGCAGTGAGTACAGTATGTTATTCTTCTTTTCTCTAGTCCCTCAATTAAACAACTTTTGTGAGCCGGGATGAGCCGGCCGGCCAGCCGGCCGTCCGGGCGATGTAAACAAAGTGAAGATAGGACTCCGAAAACTCATGTATCACAGACAGTGGGACTCGGGTGTCCATTGTAGACAGTCATGACTCACAGAGTTATTTTCAGAGGATATACTTGATTTCTATTATATTTAAGTGTGAAAAATCGCATATTAAGCCTTTACAATATACACTAGGTTGTTGCCATACTTTTATAAAAGAAGAGGATATTGTCACACTCATGATTTCCTCCTCTGTTCAAATATAGGTATTATTGTTATTAAAGGTGCACTATCTAGTTTTGGTAGAGAAATGTGAAAGTTGGAGAAGTGCACAGATTCTGTGATATATGTTCATAACTCGAAACACAAACTACGGTGTTTTATGACATGGTGGGAGGCCCGCAACAGTGAAACCGTAACTCTCCTGGTAGCTTTAAAGCTCCAAACAGTGTTCCAGGGATTCATTTTGTCCTTTGAATAAAGTGTTTGTATTAAGTTCAGAAAATATAGCATAAAATTGTTAAACTTCTACAACTTTCAAATTTCACTACCAAATCTACACAGTGCACCTTTAACAAAGTGTTATCAGATAACCACATTTCTTACCATTCTTTCCTAGGAGCACTGAACGCACCTGTATGTATGTATATATAAATCGTGAGAATTGCCGAAGTTTAAACCTCGGCCATACTGTACAGTAACTAGGGATAAAAATGTTCAGCAATAACCAGAATGCATTGAGCTAAAACTGCAGCTCATTACAAATCAAGAATTCTAATTTTTTTTGGTCATTATATCATACCTAAAGGTGAATATTGGTTTTCCTCTCTCAGTGTATATTTCAGGTGAATTAACAAAAAAAGCAACGACAAGAGAAATAACACAAGAAACTCAAATTTGATGTTATCTTTTCAGTTCATAGAGTTTTAAATTAAGGTGTAAATACAATTAACCAATTACTATAGTGTAATGTTGATACAAAACATATACGGTGGCACATAAGGGACGACTGACATAATCAAATTAGCTAATTCTTCCAATCCATCTGAGTATGTCTCCACAAAAGATTAACAGTGTTTTCCCTTTAACTATTCAACAATTTTTTTTCCTTTTTTCTCTTTACATCCTTGAGCTTACACTTGGAGTTTTTAAGAGAATTAGGAAAAGCGTCTGCAGAAAGGGCACCGCCACAGCAGGGGAGCGTGGGGGCGAATAATGAAGGGATCGAGGGAATAACTCGCTCTAAATGGACTTTAGTGCATGCAGCTATTACAAGGTAAACCCTGAAGTACGTCTTACTGCTGCTGTTCTGCTGCAGATATACAATGATGGTAATGCTATTGCAAAGAATCGGTTTGTTAATCAGGCTAGTTTTAGTGTTCCAAGTTTATATATTCAATGAATTTATTTTCAGTATAAGCATTTGTTACAGGAAACATTTTTATTGTTCGAATGTTTTTGGTCCTTCACATGAGAAGTCCAGTGTGGACTATAGGTTTCTGTACCAGCTTGAAACAGTTGAACACATTTATAGTATCCTGCTCATCTTAATGACTTTACATTTGAGGCTTTAATGCAGCATGGTTGCACCTTATAGAATTGAAAAACCACTCCGTCTTCCAAAGTGGGATTAAGAGGCATTGATCTACAGGCTCCAGGTTTTCCCAAAAAACCAGAGGAAGTAATGACAGAATAATTGAAACATGGATAAGACCGACGTGATCTGGTGTCTCAATTTCTCCTTGTGCTGTGTGTTTGTAACAGTAATTGTTTTTTTGTTTTTATTGCATGTTTAACAGCCTAGTGAGGTTATATGCAATCAGCCAACTGAAGACTGTTTTGATGACCTAGACATTTCCATATTATGTTGGAGCCAGTGCAAATGTTTTCTGGTCAGACTTGTTTATTGGACAGAACAGATGCCCTTTGCAAAATGTTCATAAAGCTCAGCTGGCATTTTATGTGTAATCACACTACACCTTTACCTCTGCACTTTTAATCTTGTATTCTAACAAGATACCAGTCGAATACGTTGTCACATTGTGGCTGCTAATAATGAAACTAAATGGAGAAAAATTCTCTTTGGACAGAAAATGTGCGGAAAAACTGACCTCAGAACTCCTACAAATTACCAGCTGATCAACACTGTTCAAATGCAAGAATCAATCTGTTCGTCCGAAAGACAGATTTTTAGATTATTTGGACGATTAATGAGGGAGAGTGACCCCTCACAAATAGCAGCCAATATATCAACAATCAGAATGGAGGATTTTTTTTTTTTTCCCTTCTTTCTTTCTTTCTTTCTTTATTAGGATCCCCATTAGCATCAGCACATGCATTGGCTATTCTTCCTGAGTAGAAGAACTGACTATCACTGAAGAGGGGAAAAAAATGCAAACACATTAACAACTGGTAGTAGCGCTGTAAGATCCAGAGCCTTTAATCCTCCTAGCAAAGGATAGAAGACTGAGTTGTTGCATATATTGCAGTGTAGCAGAGCTCGAGCATGTATTTCTCTTAGGGCTCTACTGATCCCATGTTCCTGTTCACTCTTCATGATCCTGATGCCAAATCCTTTGGACTCACATTAAAGACTATCTCAAATTTGCGTATTCAGAAGGAAGGCTGAAGCAAAGGAGTTTTCTTGCAGGTGAAGACAAAAACCAACATGCAGAAATATCTTCACAGACTCTGATATTCATACCAATGTCATCGGTGTGCCTGTAGTTTAGGGGTCTAATGGGATACTTCTGTCATTTACAGAAGATATAATGCATAGATAAATTTAACCTATTCAGATATGCAAACAAAGAGCGTAATCTTGTGCTCCAGAGGATTCCAAAGAGCTCGGCCTTTTGTGTTTCAGCCAGTTTCATCATATTATCACCTATCTCAATATGTTGCCCTAAATTTCACAGGCTCTATTCACTTGATGTGATACTGACAGTCAGCAGTCTCACAAACACAGACACACACACACACACACACACACACAGGTCTTGCAGATGGGATAGTGCAGATACGCTGCTGTCTGTCCCCATCAGACACTTCAGGGGGACATATATATGACCGGCCCGAGGGATCTTCCCTACTCAGCTGCACAGTTAACCACTGACAAACTGGTGATTTAAACGGGACTGGGTGCCCAACCATGCATCACCACGCTGGCTCTCTTACAGGGATATGACACTTGGACTGACCCTGTAAGGTTAGAGCTATCATGATGCTGGATGGGGGTGGCAGGAAAGGGAAATACAGAGGGCGCCAGAGGGAAAGGACGAGGGAGTCCCTCAGAGAGACATTCAGAGCTGGAGGAAGGAAGCAACAGTGAGAGGGGAGATAATGAGGGAAAAAAGAGGAGTATGGCATATATAAAGAGAAAGAAAGAAGCGTAATGGATTAAAGTTCAGGAAAAGAAGGCCTTGAAAGTTATTTTATTTGTACATTTTTTCGTCATTTTTTATTTACCGGCAATTACTTGTCTAAGCTTAGGTGGAAATTAATTCAACAATGTTGTGGTTTGCAATTCTTGTCAAGCCACTCACCTACTGAACTATACTGAGACTGATTACTAAATTAACATAACAATTGAGCAATTGGAGTAATAATGTCTGCCCACCCTCGGAAACTTCAATTACGATGCTTTATTTATTTTCTGTGATTGGACTATACCGAGCTCTTTCAAGATGAATTTGCAGGAAATTAGTTTTAATGCACTGAGCCTCGGAGAACCCACAATGGATCCAAATTCATTTAATCGCGAGGGTGCCCTGGGAGTTGCCACAGGAGACAGAAAATATGTTCATCTCCTTAAGATGGTTATTCATCACGATAATTATTTCAATGCTTCAATTAGTTTGACAACAATATTTGCATGTGCCACCATTTGGCACACCTGTTTGATGGTCGGTCTGGGGAGAACGGAGAGAAAAACAAAGGCTGTGGGTGTATTGATAAATGTGCCCATCTGCTGCAGAGTGCTGCTTATCACTCATGTTAATTTATATAAGATAGTGACAAGTGTACAATGTTTAACGATTAACAGACTTCAATACATCCCCTGTATTCATATGTGAATGGAGCGTCATGTTTAAAAGGAATTCTGCATAATTCAAAGCACATTGGTTAAGCTGCTATTTAAAGCACATTTGCAACTTTCCTTTGAAAGTATGTGCGGAAAATGTAATTCCAAGATCTTTTGTACTGTTGACATTGACAACATATTTTAAGACCTTGTAATAGCTGTCAAAAATTACCTTAGACATTTTTTTTTTCATTTTCAATACTGCAAAAAAAAAGAGCTTGAAAAGGAACAAAAAAAAAGTCTTTAAAAGCCTTGAAGTGATAAGTAGTAAGCTTTTTCATTTTCTTCAGTTAATCGTTATTTAGAATTGACCTGACATTCAAAACTAAAAGCCTTCAGTTACACTGACATTCAAATTTCAATGTGAGCCTATTTTCACCTTCTCAATATCTCTAAAATCTGTTTTGATATGATGCATAACGATGCAGGGACACTAGTTCATGTATTTGTTACCTTTTGGTTGAATTACTGCAATTCTCTTCTATAAGGCTGCCCTAGTAAGTCTCTTCAGTTGGTCAAAAAAGCTTCAGCTGTCTCTTTCACATTTTCCCTATTTTAGATTATAAACACTGGCTTGCTGTAAAATCTAAACCGTCTTCACATCTGCACTCTTGAAATAATCTAGCTAATTTCAGGAGGACTGCTCCAGATATTCTCCTGACCTGGCTGTTTAACATTATGCTCCTCACAGCAGGACACTTTCCCTGTCAGCCGGAAGGGGGTAGGGGATTTCCGAGGTCAGACGTGACGTAAAAAAAAAAAAGAAGAGGAAGTAGCAGACGGAGCAACAGAGTCCGCTATACGATGCTATAATGGAAATATTTTTAACAGTTTCAAGCAAAATCCGAGTATTGTGGCTGCTAAGATTGGAGAATGCCCCAAAGAGACTAATCAAAGTCCAGATAAGTCTGTTGATTTATTGAACAAAGAGTGAAAAATCATTCTGAATAAAAAGTCCAAAAGATGACGGCAGAACAACATTGGCATCATCAATAAGCCTTCACACATGTGGATAACCTGATGTGATAACAGAATATTGAGTGAAACATTTTTAAACAGGAGTAAGGCTATCGGAGCGTCTAATGTAGAGCTGATGAAATTTGTCAAAAGAGCAGAAACTGAGGAACCAATAGCCTAGCAGTTAAGTCCCACACCCCATGTATGGAGGCTATAGACTTCATCGCAGCAGCTGTGAGTTCCATGTCATCTAAGCTTTTTCCACCCAACATTTCCTGTCTCTCTTGCGCTACCCTATCTAGTAAAGGCAAAATTTACTTCAGTGTGTGCCACTCAGAATGCAGCCGGCACATTTTTAACAGGTTTAAAAAAAAGCAAGCACTAATTGCTGCATTGGTGTCCTGCTCCGAGTAGCTGTTGCTTTTGGGTTCTCTAGCGGATCAATGATTATTGGTCAGCTATTTAAAACTGTGCAGTCAACATCTACAAACCAACCCCACCTCTTTCTCATGTTATCTAGCACTGCACTCTACTGAGGGATAATTCAAATTCTGATTAATCTGACACTACTTTTGTGCTCCTTGCTGCAGAAAATAACCTTCCTGAGGAATTGAAATTAGCAGTCACTCCTATTAAAGGAAGCAACACACAAAAAAAAATATATATTTGATGTCAGTTATCTTTAACAATTTGCATTGTAACCTTGCCATTGAAAAGTTTGCATGGGCTGTCATAATTCAGTTTTTGAAAGGTTTCTCTTTTGTCCTTTATAAATCCATTTTAATCACACTGAGCTCCCTCTTGGGAAATAAAAAAGTGTGACACAATCTTAGCTCGCCTTGAACTTGTCTTTTGACTGAGAGGTAGCTGCTAGCTAACTCTAAGACAACAGGGGCAAGTCTAACTGATTAATTAAAGTTTCCATGGACAACAATTCATTAATAATACAATGATTAAAAAAAACATATTCCCTTTTCTAAAGGTATTTTAGATATTTATGTACTCATTTCACAAAGGTTGATAATGTTAGCGGTAAAATATGCACATAACTTAGTTAAAGACTCAATGGATGAAAGAATAAATGTTCAAAACAAAACAAAAGTTCAAAAGATGAACTGTACACTTAGCATACTCTGAATGAAGTGCAAACCCATGACCTGCAGTATAACCTGAGATTATACTTGAATTGAATAAATATTAAGGAACCAAAGCAAGCATTACAAAGGCTTGACTTGATTTTTCTGCAAAACATATACTGTATATGCATTTATATATCTACTTTATGTTCAGATAAAGCAAGCAGTGCAAGTTTAAATCAAAGACTTCTTTTCAGCCCCACACAATCAATCTACATAAACTGTGATCATATGGTTCAGTGTAAACTTTTTGTCCTTACAATGCAATAGAACCATTAGGGGTTTGAAGCATCATGAGGTATTAACATGCAGTTTGAATACGTTGCAAGCAATTTTTTATAGGTCAGAGTTCTGTTACCGAGCACTGCCCAAACCAGGAGTTGATCGAGTTGCATAAGGGAGGAAACAGTTGTGGAATGATCATCCGTTCTTAAAGTACTGACATTAAACGGATAATGTAGTCCTTGCATATGCCATGAATGGTTGGAAAACAAGGAGAGGTGGACCCAAGTGCAGAATATACTAAAAGTATTTAATAATCAAAAATGGCAAACAAAACTTACTACTAAAATCAAAAACAGAAAAACAAGGAGACACCAGTAGACTGACAACTGACAAACAACAATGAATTCACAACACGAGGGAAGGAACACAGACTAAATAGACATGGGGTAATCAGACACAGGTGAGACCAACGACACAGGTGAAGACAATGAGGGCAATCAACACAGAGGGAAACACACAGAGGCAGGACAAGAAACACTGAGGACAACTATGACAAATACATGAAACACTGAAGACACTGTTAAACATCAAGACACACTAGAACAGAGAGGGACACAAGGATATAAAATTACAAAATAACACAGGAAACACTGAAGATTAAACTCAGAAACACACGAGGGAAAAACAAGCAACGCTAGGGAAGAACAGGAGAAATAGAAACATGGAAACCTAAACTCTGAAATACAAAACTAAATAAGACCAAATCAGGACAGAATATCTGTATATAGACAATATCCAATTTAATGTAAACAGAACAGTAGGAATTTTTCAGTTTCAGTCACCTAAATTCTGATCTTTGAGGCTGTTAGTCTGGTTTTTTAAAGACTAGAATGGTATCTGAATTAGAATTTTTGCTTAAGAAAACTTGACCCGTGCCACAATTAATTGTCTGGAAATATTATTCAATCATCTTTTGGATTAAATATGAATCAGGCCTCCTCAAAAAAAAATAAAGGGTTCACTCTCCTTTCTTCAAAATGTTTTCTTTGTGTCTTTTTTGTGTTGTCGCCTTTAACTACAGTTGGAGTATGTGTGTCAGAATTTAGAGATATTAAGGATCTCTGAAGATGTGGCACTAATTTTATCTTACATCTGAATTACTTCCCGCTGTCAGCAGCATCTGCTCGTTGTTTTTCTAGGACTGTTACATTTGGTTTTATTTGAGTCAATGGGCATAGGAGATGAAGCTTTTCTGTGTTTCAGGGCCAGGGAAAGAGGGACTTCACATCGCTGAAAGTGGGACCATGCTGGAAAGTCTGTACGCCCTTTATCTATATTGCTAACTAGGATGCATAGTGTGTGATTTCTTTACTTTCAGATCTTACGTTGAGTAACATAGTAAATAAAGGACTTACTGAGGCTGAATTCCACCTTAGGCAGCTTGGGTGTTAGCATCACACCTGAAAGACAGAAAAAGAAAGATAGAAAATGGAGTGGAGTTGAGATGAAAGTAGAGAGAGTGAGAGATTAAGGAAGGAAAAAGGGAAGGAAATTACAACAATGAAATAAGCAAAGACATACAGTAACAGTCATTGAGAGTGAATCAATACCTTGACTTTTATGGTTTGACTTGACCCAATCAACCATCATTTGTTAATTTAAACAAACATTCATTAAGTATTTCAAATAATAGTAATTTTCCAAGGTTTCAATTAGTGTAACACATTATTCACTGTGAGCAACTGGGACCACACTCTAATAAAGCCATCTAATGGATGAGAAGGTAAATATGTGTGTCAAGAAGTTAAATAAAAACAGGCAAAACAACAGGTTAAGGTAATGTGGTAAATGACAACATGTCCACAAAAAAGGTCAAGTTAGTAGAGTGAATGTACAAAATTGCAGTCATTCAGAATACGCAGTGATTGGCAACATCGTTCCTTTGTTTTCATTTCAAATTATGCAAACACACCCTGCAATCTTTCAGAGTGTATACACTGTCCTTGTGGCCTTACGCTGGATGAGTAGTGGACTGACTGCTTATATCATGAGTCACCAGCACCATGTCTCATTCATCACTTCCCCAGTCTGACACACAACCATTCAAATAGATGCAAACACCTGCAAAATTATAGAAGAAAATTGATGTGCTCAAAAATACCACTGAATGGCGTCTTTGTTCTTCCTCGGTTTCTTGGACACAATTGGCCCCTCTAAGGCTCATCAACCCCACTAATGGGCGTCGGACACTTGACGCTTACTGATGTATGGGAGCCATGGGACGTAGGTAATAGTCATTTTAGGTAATTATGATCCTCCATAAAGTCTAAAAGATGATTTACCTGTGTTTTATAATTAAACCATTCACCACACTTTGTTGGCAGCTTTTATGTCTAGTCGGGTCTGTTTATTTGTAACGCCTTCCTTCAAAATACTTGTTTTTAAAGACTTTACGAAGAGAAGGCCTGCTTGGATCCGGCTTCACAATAATCATTCCACAAAATTATGCAATATTAAGGTAACAGAAAGTGCCAGACAAGACTGTGTGGGAAAAAATAAAAGCTTCCCGTGCTGTCTATCCTAATCTCGCCAGTAATTATACTGCCATGTGTCTTCAGGGACATTTTCACCACAATCTGCCACCACCGCTTTAGCTATTATAATGTGTTAAGCCAATAGAAAAGTCCCCTCCAGTTTTACACATCCAACTGATCAACCTCGACTAAAGAAACTAGTTTAGGCCCCTTTGACAAAAACTACAGACTCATTAAGTTGATCTTCTCAGACAGATGCAACATCAATGACTGCTTCTGGATGACTAAGCCAGTCTGAGGGGCCTGTTTGAAATATGTTTACCTCCTACCTGAGAGATTGAACCTTATTAGTTAACGTTCGGAAATGTTAATTTTTAACTCCCCTAGTAAATGTGATATACCCAAGGTTCAATATTAGGGCTTCTTTTATTATTTAACATGCTTCCGACTAAAGACTAAAACCTCTTCCTACACTACTATTCCAACAACAGGGGTAACTGTTTTAGGTAACAGCTTCATCAGACAGTGCTTGCTCTCTGAACAAAGATTTTAACTGTTAAACTGACATCACATACCGGATAGGAGGGATTTTCTTAAACTCGATTGATCATGTTCGACCATCCCAGTTTAAGAAATACACTTAGACTTGTGTCTGCAAATTTGCTTGAGAAGGTCAAACATCTTTGACACCCCTTTGTATCAGAAGAGGTTAGTTCCATGGTAAAGAATGGTTATCTCCTGAAAAACCTTGAGGAATTAAATCTGTATTTAGAATCTAGAAACAGTCTCCATGTTTTTGTTAGTCAATCGCTTTTTCCATGTAAACTTACAGATGAATAGAACATTTTTTGCACCTTTAGCAGAAAAAAATGGATATATCCACAACTGTACCATAGGTATTATATTCTAAAAGACTCAAAGAACATAAGCACGTCTGGAAGAGTATTGTGATTGTATGAAGAGAGGAAGCTTCCTTTACATGTCAGTGGAGGTCAAGAGGTTTTTCTCAAAAATCATCACAGATTCGGTGTTGGTCTGGGAGCTTTTGTTTACCTCATGCAAATACAACTGTGGAGCTGCCCAAGGTCACTGAAATAATCTGAAATAGAGTGTATGGAATAAATTGGAACATGCTCTTGGGGCTATTGCATACTAGGCCGGATTGTTTCGTCCTTTGCACGAGCATAATTGCTCCCCCCTCCCCTCTCCCCCGCTGGTCTGGATTCACATTAGTAACATCGTTTTGAGCCTGAACATACATGTGTTCATAGTCTGATAGTGCAGGCAGTGCACATAGTTGGTTTGCAAATCGGACAACAATCAGAAAGAATAAAAGGCAACTATTGTGACTCACAAGCCGAGTACATCCTGCTACTGTGGATATTTTTGTTATTTCAGAGACGCCAGAGACTCCTCCTACTTTCACATGTACCTTGCAGTTCAGAGGTCAAAATGGGAACAGGCTGTATAGATTCTAGGGTTTTTTTAAGTGACAGGAGCTGTTTAGAATTACATCATAAAGAAGTCCACTTCCTTGCTTGAGCATGGTGGCTGTCACATCTCCTGCAGAACATACTCATGCCCCGAGACCATCCTTCAAGCGTACTCCGGCACGGTCCCCTAGTACGGTCCGCTTATGTTCACACTGATCAAATAAACCGGACTTTGGGATTAAGTGTACTTGAGAATTGTACTTCTTGTAGCTCGTCATCTCCTGTTGTTTGGCACTTTTTCAACATGACGATGACTCTGAACATTTTACAAATTAAACTGTTACGTTCTTAATAAAATAAAGATGAAAGTGCTGCAAAGCCTATGTTTGTGGCCTTTACTCTATGGAGGAGGAAAACTAAAGGTACAACTTGAGTAGCGTTCTAATCAACCACTCAAGCAGGTTATCCTCTACCATTGGAGTAAGATTGACAGGACATTATTTCTCAGAACTTGGACACTCGAGGCCAAGAAGGCGCATTGCAGTTCATAAAAGCAAAGGAGGTGGTACTTATTAACAAAACAGTGTATATTTGATGAATCAAGGGTGAACCTTCTTTGCAACCCTCAATTCATGCAAAGTTGTCTTTTTGACTTAATGTACTTTTTTTTGTGACATGTCTTTTTGTTGTTACAAAGCATATCTTCGATACATTTCAGTTAACGTATGTATTGACAGGTTGTGTCCATTTATGCTAAGTAAGCGATTTTAGCCCTTTAATTCATAAACAAAGGGTTGGATGGTTTTAACAAGTATAGTTTTATAAAACTATGATAGCACTCTTGTAAAGTACAAAAGGTTGGATTAATATACTACTTATATCAAGTCTCTTTAAATACCATCTATTGCATACTACATAATACATTTTGGAATAGACTGTATGACTAGCTGAATTTTAACTTTCACATATGGTCTGTGTGTGATCAACTGTTGTCTGTTGTTGTGTGTTCTGTGGTTTCTTATTCATGTTACAAAAAATGACCAGAACACTCTGTAATATACTTTCTTTTATCGCTCCAATTTATTTGATTTTGGTCCCACTTCCAAGTTCAATACAAGTTATCCAGAGTTAAGTTTGTGTTGTAATTTTTAAGTTTAAACTGAACTCAGACAAGTTCATAACAAGATTGGTGAAATTCTCATTGCTATAGTTTACACACTAATAAATTACTCTCTGTTATTCTTCTACATGTATTCTTTGGAAGCTCCTTCTTGAGAGTCATCTTTTTACTGGTGCAAAAAAAGGTTTGAAAACTTGATTAAAAAAAAACACAACCAACTTGCAGTTCATATCTTAATGAGGAAAACTTGTCAAAATTGTTAATTAAGTCTTAATCTGTTGGTGTTCTCTCAAATGTCAGTACAGCACTTGTCAGGATTGGCTAGATTTGAATAAACAAGCTTACGCAAAGTTAGCGCAATATCTGTTATGAATACTAGTCATATAAATGTCTCATTAATCAAGCGCACTCAGAGCTGAAGCATGCACTCGCTTACATAAATAGGACAATTATGTATGTAAATATATTTTCTGTATCGCGACCTGGTTTACACATTACTGTCATCATCCTCCCTTCCCTCAGGGGTGATGTCTCCCACTTCTTGAGAGGCTTCGTTGAGAGTGTTGATGAAACATTAATAAGCCTGGGTGACATGTTGCATGGCTACAATAGAGAGCCCTTTAGCTAGGTGAGCTGAGACAGAGCCAGCTGCTTGGTTTTGTCTCTGGTGCCATCATAAGGGACTGTCATGTCAACAGCCCAACTGTCTCAGTAGATTCCATCTGTGCAAGGCCACAACTTATCTAAAGTAGTAGGATGCGGTGGAAGGGGCCTATCTAAGAGGAAATAATTGTTAAGGTCTGATACTGGTTGGGAATAATCATCATGGGACTTAAAACTCATGGCAAAGAAACTAGATATAGTATAGTAGTACGAGAAGGGCAGGCTGAGGATTGGAGTTTAAAGACAATTAAAAATTAGAAAAGACATGCTGTATATTTGAAAAAACGTTACTGACTAAATTAAATGCTCAGACACTATTTATTCTCTTTTTTGATACCAATTCCAAAACCTGAATTTCGGAATCAAGATTAGCATGCTGTCCCTTCCAAAGAGTTGGAGAAACTCAGATCTGTAAAGTGACGATGACGTGACGTGATCGATGTAGTATGTTAAAATCAACATTCTTATCTTCTGAGATTTTAAATAGATTCATATTTCCAAAAATCATCATTTTTTTTTTTGTCACTCCCTACTTAGTGCTAAGGCTAGCTCCTTCACTCAGTAGTATGCCAAATGGAGCAGCAATAAATTTTGCCAGTCTCACAGATGACTGGAGTAGATCCTGAAGTATGAACTAATTCAAAAACAGACTTTGAATCCATGGATCCAGAATGGTTTTGAATCGAAAATAAATTCTAAATAAAATCCAAAAATTGAATCGTGAGACACCCAAAGATTCCCAGCCCTGCTAATGACACTTTCTCTCTTAGCGCTGCACTATTGTTGTTTTGCTTTTCTTAAGTAATAAATGGCAAGTAATCAGTTCTTCTGTCAAACAGTTACCAATGGCAGCCATAATATCCTCATGCTAGCCTGACAGTACAACTTGATATGAAAACTGTTTTAGATTTCTGTATTGACTTTTTCAAGTAGACCTTGAAAATATTGCTAACTCAAAATCCAATCACAATGAAAAGAAAAAAAAAAGTTGTGTACATAACTTGAGGCCAGAACACCTGTTCTGTACACGGCAACATTATTCTTGTATCATGTCATTAACCCTTTTACGAGGATCAGGCTGACCAAAGCAACTACACAAAGTCTAATGACACCAATTACCCCATTACACAGAGAGAGGTCAACCACCACGACTGTCCATCTCAATCACAGCCCCTTTAGCATATGAAGCTGGCAGGTGATGCCGCTCCAAGTGTGCGGAAAAAAGTGGAACAGGTGTGATATTTAAAATCGATATCCGCTGGCATTATGAATATGGTAATACGCTCAGCAAGGCAGCAGGCAGGCAGGCAGGCACATGCAGATGTAACTCCCAGAGGGACCCGAAGCAAATGAGGTGTGCCCGCCCGCTATACTGCAGTTTCATCCAGCTCTAGAAATAACAGCACAGCCCCACTGTACCTCCAATCTATCAACCCCCTGTCTGCTGGAGGTATCAGTGGGGGGAAAAGCACGCTGAGGGCAGAGGAGAGGCTAATTTATTAGGTTGTGAGCAGAGCAGGTGATTTCTCCAGAATGACAGAGTTAATTAATGTACAGGGACTTAAATTGTCGGTCTTTTGTCTTTCAGTCATTTAACCCTCTTCCCTTTCTCGCTGCTTCGCTTCCTCACCTTCTATACAGAGCGAGAAAAGCTAACTAGCTAACAGGAGATACTCTGGAACGGACCGCGGAGACAGAAGATGTGGGGGAGCACACACATGCGGTTGCTTCTCATTCCTGATTCCACAAACATAATTGTAGAAAGGCGCCAGAATGTTGGTGATCCTGTCCACATCATGTGCTACCAGCTGGATGAAGAAAATCAAGTAATTTCCAAAAAGAGCTTCTTTCAACCCAATCACAGCATATTCCTAATCAATTCTTCTTATCCTCTTCATGAATAGATCTTACATGTAAGAGCGTGTGCCTGAGATCAGATGCTGTTTTTATTTTGAACATGAGATACTCTGGATTTTTAGAGATGATATTAATAAGTCACTTGTATGTGTGGCTCACCACAGAATTAGATTTTTGAGAATTGTATAATTACAAACACCACCACCCCCAAATGTACTTATCTTCACTGTGAATTCACACAACACACACAGAACTAATTGCAGTCTTTTTTTCTCATCTTATTCTCCGTTCTTATTCGTGCTGCACTTTAAATTGCCTCGACAACACCTGCACATCCTTTCTGATGATTCAGTCATCAGGCAGACTAACAACCCCTCCTAACTCGATTGATGTTTGCACAAACAGGCATCCTATTAGGACAAGTGGTGCTGAATGGGAGAATGAGTTATCGTCACATTACTGCCCTGGGAGATTGAGAGGGGACAGATGGTTTTGTTGCCAGCGTTTAATGAAGTGATTGAAGTGATTTAGTTGGGGGGCACTGAGAGGGTCTTGACTGTCGTGTCGATGGGAGATGGAGTGTCAGGGGTTAAAGAGGGCACAGGGCAGGGGAGACAGTTTTTGGATGTAAAGAATTGTGCCTTGAAAACTCTCAATTATGATACAGCTGCCATTGAAAACTGCCTTATCCATGTCTAAATAGAGGATTTAAAAAGTGAGGAGTAACAATAAGAGTTAGAAAAAGAACACATATTCCCTCAGAGACATTTTGCAGTAACTCTGGCTGCATGGCAAACTTAAGCTACAATTGGCAGTTCCTAACAGCAACTAAGCAGAGCTATCGGACCATTGGAACCCATTTCTCAAATACAGTTTGTTGAGATTTTCTACATGTTATGAAGTAGTGGTTTTGACCAGTAGACTGTGGGGCATGGTCATAGGACAATCTGCTCTGGTGGTGTTTATTGTTGTCTGATAATAAACGCACTTCCTCATCCCCTCAATAATAAACTTTTCCACTGAGCACTCTTACAGCACTTCAATGTGAGTCTGGATTTTGGAGCGTTTGTCTTTAATGCAAACATTTTCTAAATATGTGTGTTTTTGACTGCATTGTTTTTATATTTGCAGCAAGTATTCATTTTCAGTGCCTTTCTGTAGTTGCATTTGTTTTGGAATTTGCACTGTTTCAGTATTGGCTGCAGGCTCTCCCTTTTTCACTTTGTTTTGGCTGAAGGAATTTCTTACTACTCTGAAGTCGTCAGCAATGTTGTCAGGTTTACTTTCATCAATGTTGCTACAAGTTGTCCCATTAGTCTGGAATATGAAGTTCACTTGGATGACTCTTCTCTGCAGTCGATTTTTTTTTATCTCCTTTCTATTTTCTCTTAATATTTCTTCATCCTTCAGTACATCCAAAGTACTTTTAGTTTAACAGCATGTTTGAAATTAAGATACCCGCCAATAAATAAGGTTGATATCTGTCTTTATGTTGAGACAGTGATGTGATTTAAAAAAAAAAAAAAAAGTAGTCAGAAGAATAAATACTCAAGAAAAGTTGAACACAGACTCTTCTTAAGAACAGTAAGAATGAACTTGCATTGGTTTTCTTCCACCACTGATAAACATGAATTAATTTTTCCCACTGTGTGGTTGAGTTTGTAAATTGCTAATTCAGTCCCACCTTAATAACTACTAAGCAGCACCCTGTTTGGTCCTTCTGTCTCTGCTGACAAGAAGGATGAGATAAACTGTTTCACCTTGCGACTGATAATGCTTGGTTGTCATCCTGTCTGTCGTGCCAAACATGGTAATTATGTGCTTTGCTCTTCCCTTTTGTCTCCCAGGATACTCAGGCGGAAGAAAATGCAGATACAATGAGCTGTTTTTCTTTACCTTTGTCCACCCACACCTGTCATCTTTAAGTGTGAACATGCTATCTCAATAATAGTGTGTATCTATGGTTCCCGATCAGTTCAGAACTGTTATTGTGCATGCATGCTCACTTCTGTGCGCTTGTGTACTGAATTTATCTTGAGTGTAAATACTGTGTTATTTCCTCCTGTGTGTGTGTGTGTGTTTCCATTTGTGTAATTGTGCATGTAAAATGCTTCAGCCCGTGTGGTTGGAGGCAAAGGAGACATCATGAATTGAGCTTTAATTCCTCTTTGTATGTCTCTTTATTCTTATCCCCATAGGGAGGATGATGGTTTTCAGCTTGCATGCCAATGCGAATGCTTAGCGGTGCTGCATTCACTGTCTGTCCTTTTGGTGAGCAAAGGTATTAAAGTTGGAGAGCAGGGTTTTTGTGGCATCACTGCTACCGCTAATCTCTTTAGCATTCTCCTGTTGTAATGGGCACTGAGATATCCAGTTTGCCTCTGCCAGTGCTCATTAGTGACAACACATCCAGGCTGTGTGGAATATGACTGCAGTACAATAGTAGAGCACATACACACACTTACATGCAAAGTCACATCCACATAGGCACAGACACACACAAGATTGCACACACATGCATCTGGGCAAAGGTTGGCACTAGAATTCCAGACCTCAATAAACTGGGCTACCAGAACTTTACTTTATAGATTCGCTAAATCAGTGTTGCCCAAAAGCAGGTGAGGCAGACTTCTTTGGCATTATTGCAAACCATTTGAAACACACTGCAAGAATCTGCCACTTTATGAGATACAGCAAAACAGCAGCTACCAAGTTTTGAACATTAATTCAGTGTATTTTTTTTTAAAGAAACACCTGAATAATAATCATGATAATGCTCTGACAAATTTTCCAAATTCAGTAGAACTTTAAGTGACAGGTAAGGCAGAGTGAGCTTAGTTTGCTTTTTGATAATGGGCTGTGAACTGCGACAAAATGACCCTCAGGTGTAAGTTACCATGCAGTAAAACTGCACTGAGTTCAGTTACTTGGCTATTAATCATCAAGGTTTTAAAAATGGGCTCCCTCTCTCCCTCTTTCTTTAACATCCACCCTTCTCTTACTCTCTGTCTCTCTCTTGTTTTACACAAACACACACCCTCTGTAAGTGTGCTCAAAAGAGAGAGAGAGAGAATCACTGCAAAAACTAAAAAGGGAATCATGCAGAAAACTAGACATCATGCATTAGGAAATGCATTACTGCAGGAGTCAGTCTTAACAGCAGAAAAGATGTCACAGAGTTTCAGTGTATAAAGAAGGACAGAGGAGACAGCCAGAGGAGACAGATGAGGAGACAGAGAGACACACACGACACAGCGCGGTCAGCTCACCGGCAGCGGTCAGTCCTTCAGGGTTGGCGCTCAGCTCCTTCATGTCAACCACGCAGTGTCCCAGTTGCTGGGTGCCGTCCTCCATCTGTCCAGCTCGTCTCTCTCTCTTGCCTCCACCTCCTCTCCCACCACCTCCACGAAACACCACAGTCCAGTCCAGTTCCCCTGCTCCACGTGCAGCTTGCCAGGCAGAAAAGCTGTCACAAAGATAGGAATCCGGCTTGCCTCGCTTTTCCTTGCTGCCTCAGTGCGCTCTCTGGCAGCATTAAAGATGCCTTTAGGAAACTAATACGGGAGAGGGACCTAGAGAGGCGTCGGGAGGGAGGGGGAGAGAGAGAGAGAGAGAGAGAGAGAGAGAGGGGGGGGAGAAAAGGGAGGAGTGATGAGGGAGTGAGACTCAGAATAAAAGAGAAAGGAGGACAGAATTGATGCTATGTGTGATGCACAGCTCAATCCATCAATCTCAGGCTGTCAGTAGGGGACCGAGAGCAGACTGCACAGTTCTATAACACATTCAGAGATACACAACTCTCCTCCTCGCTCTCTCTCCTTCTGTTTCTCCTTTCACTGCGCAGCCACTGCTGCATCCAGACATGGCAGCAGGGGTCCCTCTGATTTCTGACATCCGTCTACCCCCTCCTCCTCCTCCTCAGCCATCCCCCACCTCTTCCTTTTTCTTCCACAGAAGCAAAAAAAAAAAAAAAAAAAAAAAAAAAAGCATCTGACTGTTGAGCTCCATACAGGGGGACAGCATCATGTAGCTTGAGAATTTGAAAGTTATATATGTTAGAAAGGGGGAGGAGGGGGGGAATGGAGGGAGAAATCACAGCGCAGTGACTTATTTTGTGTGCACTGTGATGTAATTCCTCAGTATAAAAATACATTGGCAACTTTACTCGATCGGATTAATAAGATAACTCGACAGAGATAACAGATGACTGCCATCTTTCTCAGGCAAACTTTACTGCATCACATTGCATATATGCTCTGCACATAAACAAATCCTTAAAAAAAGAGGTGACAAAAAGATTTTGTTATGATCAGCAATTATTTATAATGATGACTTACACTAGCAGAATAATGGAGCCAGCTTTCTTGGTTTTTATTTTTTTTGTTTCCCTCACTACCTCCCACCCACTCATACTGTGAAGGTTATTGTTAGTTATTTGGCCACCAAGGCCATGATGCTACAGAACGACTCTATCTAAAATCAATGTTAATTTATACCCTGCTGAACGCAGAGGCTGTTGTGGTCTGAGCTTAAGCTCAATAATAAAGACAGAAAAGGCAGCAAGCCTCAAACTCCTAAAGGAGGGAAAACACCTACAGAATGTATTATGCAATACAAAGAAATAAAGCATTACCCTGAAAAGTGTAGACTCAGAAATACGATAAAGATTTTGACAATTAGGACAGACAATAGCCTTTCATCTGCAGTGAAATAACTCACTGCTATTTGTTTGATACAACGTGCAGTAAATATCTGTAATAGGTGTGATCTTAATTTAAGATAATAGCACTACCTTTCCCTAATATTCTCCAACTGTATATAGAAGCAAAAAAAGCTTTTGCATGTATCTTCAATGGACAAGGTAAAAATAGAAGGGAATTTTAAATACACTAAAGACTGGCATATGACGGAACAAAGAGAAGGAACAAAACCAACATGTTTTAAGATTTTTAACACTTTTCTTTTCCATTCACATGTTTGCGACCCACTGAAAACGGCTCAGCGGCCCACTTTTGGGTCCCGACCCACCAGTTGAGAACCACTGTTTTAGATTATATAATTACCTTTGTTTTAAGCATTAAGAAAACTACTAAACCACGCCTTTGTAGTTAATTATCTAAAACCTAATTCAAACCAGTTAATAAACCATTTGTAGTTACAGTCATGAAAAAAAACAAGAGGTCATCAGGTAATGTTATTGTTGTTTATGAAAGATGGCAGGTTCCGTAAAGAAATCATTTGAAATTTTATGATACAACTTATGAGGCAACATAAAGGTACTTTTTCTTAGTTTAATTAGGAGATAAATGAAGTTACACAAACATTACAGCCAGCCTTTAAATAACTGTACTGGTCAAACCTTGCTGCAGATGCAGGCCCTGGGATCATGTGCTTTCTTGTGGTGGAGGGTCTGGATCAGGGTTGGTGCCAAAAACCTAAATGAAGATAAATTGGTCCCTGCAGGAGCAATAAGACAGAAGATGAATCCACTCTGCACAAGGAGGTTTCTTCCTCACTTTCCACTACTCCCTCTATCCTTATCCCCTCATCTCTCTATTGCCACATTCTCCTTGTTTTCCACCCACTTTACTCCCCTAAAACCATCAAGATGAATGTTGTCTTCTTCTGTCTTAATGAAAATGTGCTGGCACACACCTACACAAACACACAAAGGTGTCTGGACTCGCTCGCAGACACGCACACACACAAACAAAACACAGCAGAGAGGCAAGGTCTGCGGAGCGAACCATTAACATTCTAATACGTTTCTTTTAAAGGCGACATGTGTTGTCTTATTAAAGCCTGACTGATGGAGGGGGCCAGAGAAAATCAATAGACAATGCACTAGAGATGTAGAATAGTGCGAGTACACGGAGGAGAGGAGAGGAGAAGAAAATAAACATGCCCTTTTTAGATATTCAAGGCCCAAAGCCCAGAGAATAGATCCTCACATTTACCCATTCCAATAGCACTTGAGGCCCATTACAATTTGTGATATACTCCTTCACAGTATTAACTGAGGGAAGTTGATAGTTTGATTCACTGTTGACTCTGAACTGTGTGTTGCATCTGCTGCAGGGTTGCATAGTCAAAGTGCAGGACATGCCACACAACACAGACAGACCTCTCATTTCCATGGTATAAGATAACCACTGCTTGAAGTATGTGAAATAATACATCAATGGTTTACATGTGCACTGTCGCATGCATATGCAGTTAGATGCGTGTTGTATTTTATGTAACAATTTGTGAATCAGTGCGTCAAAGATCAGTGTGCTACATGTGGCAACGACATCAACAGCGAAGGCAACATGAAAGTATTCACCTTCCAGACAGCTACCCTTGCTGAGTACCCTCTCTTTGATTTTAACATGTTGGCAACAGAAATATCTGAAACAGCAGAGAAACACGCCACTGCACACACTGGGTGACAGCACAAGCCAAAAAATAATGAGGACTTGGTGTGAAAAAAAAAAAAAAAATGTAGACTAGAAGATGAAAGATATTATCCTCTTGAAAAATGTTTTGTTTTTTAATGTTAATCAGCAAACAAGTCATAAAAGGCTATACATAGTACTCTGAGTTGTTCTACTGCTTCATCTACAATTGGTTAGATGAAGACTTCTCATATAATATAAGCTGTGAATCAAAGTGAACATGAACAGTATGAAACTGACATTTAATGAGATGCTAAACTAGGATACTGGGAGGAAAAGATAACGCTTTTAAAATGAACAACCAAAAATAACATAACACTGACAAGTCCATATGCACATTGACCAATACTTTAGTTGCTACCAATGTCCCTGCTGTCCTCTCTGGCCTTTAAGAAGATTCTTACAGAAAAGTATTCAAATCAAATCAAACTCAATCATCATATCTTTTTTTCTAGAATGGAAAAGAACATCTACAGCGACCATCAACTTTAAAATATACATATGAGTATACAAATACTGCATCCACAGGCTTGAAAAACATGTACAGCAGTTTTTTGTTTTTTTTTTACACTTGTTGACCTTGCAATATCAACAAACAACTCATGCATGTGAAATAGACTGCATACCATATGTGCTTGCATTGTTTCTGTCTATGTATTATTTGTATTCAGACTGAGCTTATCATCTAATGGGACCAACAGACAGTGTCTGTCAAAAGTCCACATGAATCCTCTCCACACTCAAAGTGAACTGACATCTATCCACCAAACCTTTGACTCCTCTCCCTGTAGGAGAATCTGGAAAGATGAGCTTATCGATTTCTCATCATGTGTTGTCATGTTGGCTTACAACATCCTCTTTCACTGCACCACTACTTAAAATCAAGTTGTTGACTTTCAGTGTTTTCTAAAAGGGATCCACTCTGTTTCCACGAGTAGAAACGTTTTATTTGATTCGAAGAAGAAATCCAATATCCTTTACATCATCCTGCTGAACAATTGGACTTTAACGCACTACAGTCCGAACATTTACAGAACATGGAGATATTCCAAAGCTATTCATATCTTTTTAGTCTAATATTTTACACATGAATCGAGAATCTGTAGGCGAGGGGAAAGATTTTGGGAACCAATCTGGTGTCTCAGAGAAGTAAATATTTTTCGTTTTACGTGCATTATCTGTTCGCAATAATATAATATAATAACAGTCCATAGGTGAGCAAAAGAGGCAAAAAACCAGTGTCTGTAATGCAAATACTCATTAGCTGATGATGAGCATATGATCTCTATAAAACAGACATCTGCATTAAACTACAGTGAAAAGTTTTCCTTATACATTTTGGTCTCCATTCTTAATCAGCTCTGTGACTCTCTGTAAACAACAAAATGCAAACAGAAGAGCAGGTCTTCCCAAAGAATTCCTGTATTGCTTTCATAAGCAGCTACAGCCTCCACTGGATGGGCCCCCCAAAAAAATCACTATCAGACAAATGCTAATTGGATAGCTAAAAGCATACCTCAAAGCCCATAGGTTCAATACATTATCAGAGTTATTGGTCACTGTGATTATTTCTTCTGTCAACAACAGCCCACTTCCGGGGCGCTGGTGGCGCAGTGGTTCGTGCGCGCGCCCCATGCATGGAGGCTGCTGTCCTCCAAGCGGGCTGCCCAGGTTCAAATCCAACCTGTGGCTCCTTTCCCGCATGTCGTTCCCCCACTCTGTTTCCCTGACCCTATCCACTGACCTGTCTCTACAATAAAGACACTAAAAGCCCAAAAATAAATCTTAAAAAATAGGCTCCATTCATTAACAAACTCCTCTGCAAAAATACTTAAATGAAATGAACCCACTTTGACAGTCTGAGTAAACCAAACCAAGTGAGTTTCTGCCAAAGTCGGTCTTGTGGGTACCACATTTCCTGGAAATACAGAAAACAAAAGAAGATGCCTTTGACTTTTACGACTTTAACATTGACAAATATCTAGGACATACAGTATACTGCTCCCAGAAGCTCCCAGAATATATTTTCTTCGACAGAATTTAAGACTGCATTTTCACACAGAACAGGGACTCCTTGATCTTGTCACCAATC